GAAGCCCCAAGATTTAAGGGAGAGAAAAAAAAACCCCCCCAAGGGGGGGGGGGGGGGGGTGAGTGAGGAATATATATATATATATCAGTTAGGATCACTACTTTATTTTTAGAATGTGAAATGTCAGAATAGTAGTAGAGAAAAAGATTTATTTCAGCATTTATTTCTTCCAACACATTCCTAGTGGGTCAGAAGTTTACATACACTTGGTAAGTATTTGGTAGCATTGCCTTTAAATTGTGTAACTTGGGTCAGATGTTTGGGGCTGCCTTCCACAAGCTTCTTACAATAAGTTACAGGAGTTTCAGCCCGTTCCTCCAGACAGAACTGGTGGAACTGAGTCAGTTCTGGAGGACTCCTTGCTCATATACGTTTTTTCAGTTCTGCCCACATATATGGGATTGAGGTCAGGGCTTTGTGATGACTTTATTGTCCTTAAGCCATTTTGCCACAGCTGTGGAAGTCTGCTTGGGGTCACTGTCCATTTGGACAAGACCCATTAGTGACCAAGCTTTAACTTCCTGGCTGATGTCCGGAGATGTTGCTTCAATATATCCATATCATCTTTTTTCCTCATGATGCCATCTATTTTGTGAAGTGCCCCAGTCCCCCTGCAGCAAAGCCCCCCTCACAGCATGGTGCTGCCACCATGATGACAAACAATAGTCATTATTCCCAAACAGTTCAGTTTTTGTTTCATTAGACCAGAGGACATTTCTCCAGAAAGTCAGATCTTTGTCTCCATGTACAGATGCAAACTGTTGTCTGCCTTTTTATGGCATTTTGGAGCAGTGAAGTCACTGCTCCAAAATGCCAAAATGCCTCGCTGAACAGCTATTTCAGGTTATGTAGATACAGGACTCGTACTGTGGATATAGCTACCTTGGTACCTGTTATCTTCAGTGTCTTCACAAGGACCTTTGCTGTTGTTCTGGGATAGATTTGTACTGTTTGGCCCAAAGTACGTTCATCTCTAGGAGAAAGAACACGTGTCCGTCCTGAGTGGTACGATGGTTGCATCATCCCATGGTGTTTATACTTGCATAGTTTTGCTTGTACAGATGAAGGTGGTACCTTTAGGTGTGTATGTAAGTCTGTGTGTATGTACATGTCTGACTTCAACTGTATATAGTGAAATACCACATTAACACAGCTTAAAAATAGGCTATTGCTCTTTTTGTTAGTCAGCACATTATTTTAATGACTTGACAAAAGCAAGTGATTTAAGAGATGTTTTTAAATAAATGAAATTTTATTTGTCTAGTGCCATTTCACAACCACAATCATCTCAAGGCACTTAACATAGTAAGGTCTAGACCGCAGGATACTGCAACAGCACCAGCTGGGCCAGCTGTTCAGACTCGTCACTGTCTTGGATGAGATCGATGACCACTGTGTCATCTGCAAACTTCAGGAGTTTAACATAAAATTAAAAACATTCAAAATTATGTTAATGGGGTGAAATCCATCAGGGAGTGTTGTCAGACATACTGTTCAGAATCAGAATCAGCTTTATTGGCCAGGTGTGACGGACACACGAGGAATTTGACTCAGGTACATCGGCTCTCAATGTGCAAAACAGTAAACCAGCATAAGGCTGCATAATATAACAAAATAGCAGTATTAACATCAACAACCAGTACAAAAAATGCAGAAAAAGCTGTATAAACAGACATTAAACGATGCAGACAACTGTTAGGTATTTTTAGTCAGATAGAAATTGATAGATACTTTATGTATTAGAAATGTTTAGTGGAGATAGGATGTCTAGTTAGACTGTTAAAATGCTTAGTCATGCTTATGAGTTTCTACAGGGTACATCTGGTCAAGGATAACTAGAGAGAAAAGTTGATGACTGTCAGCAGACAGGGTGTTTAATATTATTATCACGTGTATAACTGTAGCCTTAGCCATAATATGTTCTTATGTTTAAGTCACGACATGTTCTAGAAGTGTGTGAGAATGTTTGTAGTTACACACCACTTAATCAACAGACACTCCACACGCACATTGATTTGCTTCATGTTTTGACTACTGTTGTGGCCAGCTGCAGAGCTGGCAACAGAGACGTCTCGGTTGACGTTTCTGTGCGGGGGGTTCTGTAGCCAGCGATGTAACACAGACAATGGGTCACTGGCTAAAACTTGAGCTTTCAGCTTTTCAGAGTAGCTCCTCTTTGCTGCTCTGATCTCCCTTGTCAGTTTGTTCCTCGCCTGGCTGTACAGAGTCCTGTCCCCACTTCTGTAAGCCTCCTCTTTGGCATGACGAGGCTGCTTGAGTCTTGCTGTAAACCAGGGCTTGTTGTTGTTGTATGTGCAGAAGGTCTTTTTGGGCATACACACATCCTCACAGAAACTGATATAAGATGTCACAGTGTCAGTGAGTTCATCCAGCTGCAGTAGCTGCAGTCTCAAATACACTCCAGTCTGTGCAGTCAAAGCAGGCCTGTAGTTCTGACTTAGCCTCCTCAGTCCAG